GAACATCCTGAACGCATATTGGAAGAAGTGTATAAAAATGAAGTAACAATTATAGAAAATGAGGATGAAGAATCCACTGATGAAGCTCAAACAAGTGAGGACGAAGAATTCTCGGACGAGGAAAAATATGTCGATGAGGATTAAAAAGTTAGTTTTTTAAAGCACTCTCATTTTATAGTTAGTTTCTTATATGTTTCAATCTAAATGTGTATTTTATTATGCAGATGGCAGGCAAGGGTCAAGGTAACAATGACCCTACTAGTTCTCGGGGTCAAGAAAAGAGTAGGAAGGGAAAGAGGAGAGTAGAAAATAATAGTCCCTCTTGTCCACCCTTTTCTGAGATGCCTATGTCTTATCCTCCACCACACGGCTATACTGAGCTGCCACAGCATCACGAGCCGTACACCTTCATTCAGACACCAGGTCTTCCATCACAGTGCCATAGGACTATATGTCCGACATACAGTCCAGCTGCCTCACAGCCATCTGCATCGCAACCATCTACATCACATCCATGTGGATCACATCCCTACATATCATAGCCATATGGATCGCATCCATCCATGTCACAGCCACTCGGGTCACAGCCACTTGGGTCGCATCCATCTATGTCGCAGTCACAGGGATCACAACCATCTTCATCATCAACTCCATCTATTGCAGGCCTTCGCTTGCGAAGCAGTAGCTCTGACCCACTTACACCATCTACACATGCCTCTGATACACATGCTTCAGATGGTGATAATGAGGTAGTGCATTATGATCGATATGCCAGGATCATCATAGTCCCTTAGGGTGATGGGTAAGTGTTATTCATTATTTTTGCGTCTATTGATTTGTAACATTTTTACTAAGATATTAATGTGTTTTTATTATTAAATTACAGGTTCAGGCCGTGTAATAAGACTACGAAGATAATCTCCAATGCCATCAGAAAGCTTTATGATGGCCCTTATGCGACTTGGACTGATTGTCCATTCTCGCTGAATGAGTAAATTTTTAATCAATTTAAGGTATAAATATTATTTTAAACAGTTTAATAATTTATATTTATGATGTTTCCATCTATTATTTAACTTTTGAAATACATAGCAAGGGTGTATGGGAAGACCGCTATACCGCGGAAGTGGCTGTAAATTTTTATCATAAAGCTCGCAAGAGATTAGCGAATGTTTTCTCGGATGCTAGAAAGAAGAACAAGAGGTCTGGCTGGTTACTTGAGAATTTTTGGTATGATTTGCAAAGGCAATGGATTACCACGGAGTTCTTAGAGAGGAGCAAAAAAGGAAAGAAAGCCCGTGCATCCGAGAAAGGGGGCTCCTTGCACACTGGAGGTGCGATCAGCCTAGGGACAATAAAAAGAAGACTGGTGCGTAATTGCTTAAATTATTTTACTTTTCTAAGTATATCTATTCTCTTTATTAACTAAATTAATTTATTTTCAGGAAAAGAAGTATAGGCGTCCAATGAGTCATGATAAGTTATTCAAGGAGACACATATTGTGAAGAAGAAAGAGGGGGATCAATATAGGTGGGTCGAGGACCGGGCCTCGACTGCATATGTAAGCTTTCAATTTTCTTTAAGTATTATAATTTACTTTTATAAAAATTTTGAAATACTTATTTAATTTAAAATAATATAGGGTCGATACCAAAGTAACGTGGAGGAATTCATCTGTAGTCATCCATCTGGTGAATCGGGTGAGCCAACCCAACCTTCGGACGAGGATACTGAAAGAATATGGTTGGAGTCTATTGGCGGTCCAAAATGGGGGAAGGTATACGGGCTTCCTACTAAAAACTTCCATCGCTATAAGTGTGGAATGCAAGGAATAGGGACTTTCTCGCAAGGCGAGGAACTTAATAGGGAGAGCCTCTCCGCTATGCGGGAGGTAGTGATAAAACTCATATCCGAGCTAGTAGCGGCCAAGGAAATAGAAAGGCTTAGAGATGCTCAATTCCTTAGCATGCAAGCTCAGATCAGAACTCTCCTATCTAGTGGAGCTTTTCCGTTGCCCCGGTCTCGTGAGTCATCTCCAGAGGGTCGACCTCCATGTGATCGTTCCTCCCGTCCTGCTCGTGATCGTTCCTCCTGTCCTCCCCTTGATCGTTCTTACCGTCCTCCACAAGACCGTTCTCTATACCGTCTTGTAAATGAAAGTTCATCAGACGGTGATGATGATGTTGTAGAAAATACCCCTTGACTTTTATATACTTTGAACTAGACAAATAGAACCAGTTTTGAACTAGTTGTAATTAGTTTTAACTTGATTTTGGATTTTTATGTTCAATTGAACTTTAATTTGTTAGTTTTAAAGTATTTATTGAATGTTTTGGTTGTTGTTGTTGTTGTTGTTATGTTATTGTTATTGTTATGTTGTTGTTGTTATGTTGTTGTTGTTGTTGTTGTTATGTTATTGTTATTGTTATGTTGTTGTTGTTATGTTGTTGTTGTTGTTGTTGTTATTGTTGTTGTTGTTGTTATTAGGTATATCGGTATGCTGGCAGGTGGTGTAGCTGCCAAAATAGGCATTTTATGTCAAAATTTAACCCAGAAAAACCAACCAACGTTGGTCGGTTTTTAATAATAAAAAAAATTATTCCAAAATACTGACCATAGTTGGTCGGTTAATGAACATTGAATTCCCAGAATTCAACATTATCGACCAACATTGGTCGGTATTTTGCCTGCACTGTTGAGCTTACCGGCCATAGTTGGTTGGTAATGTTTAATTTTAATTATTTTAAGAAAATATATATTATCAGTTACCGACCAAAGTTGATCATTTTTTTTTAATTTTAATAATTATATAAAAAAAATATAATTTAGTTAAACCGACCAACTTTGGTCGGTAAAATTAAATTAATAAAATATGTTTCCGACCAAAGTTGGTCGGTAAGTACTTAAACTTGTCAGATGGTCATTTTAAGCTACCGACCAATGTTGGTCGGTAATTTCCGACCAACTTTGGTCGGTAAGCCATTCCGACCATCAAAACACCGTCCATACCCTAATGGTCGCATTTTGGTCGGTAACTGGCCATAACCGACCAACTTTGGTCGGTTTTTTTGATCAGTTTTTAGCGTATTTCTAGTAGTGAGGTTAATTTTTATCGCATGTCAGATTCATTGTATTAAAAATAAGATTTGCAATGTATGACTTAAACTTATGTTTGGATTAAAACTGTATAAAATTGTTGTTTGCAGTTATGCCTTTGGACTTGGGTATCCTAAAAGAGGTTTGATCTGGAGAAACTTAAGAGCAAGGTTAGTGTTGTCTTTTTAGCTAGGAACTTTATCATGGTATGGATGATACAATATTGTTATCCCATATTGCATTAGGTATAAAGTAACGTGAATTCATGTAGCTTGAACAAGAATTTACTATGCATAAATTGAAGAAGAATATTAAAAAACACTGAATAACTAAGTAGGCGTTTGGACATGAATTCCAACAAAAAAAAAATTATATTTGGAATTTCACTAAAATTTGAATTGAAGATGAAGTTGTGTTTGATTATAAATTTTGCAACATATTTGGATGTCTTTTTTTCCGCATATTTTGCAACTAAACACTAGCAACCTTTCCATTTTCAAGTGAGATTGAACAAATTATAAGATTTTGATAACCAAATATTATTTTCAAAAAACAAATTGAAAAAAAAGAAAATTTAAGTATAAAAGTTATCGCCATTCTTAGGTCTTAAACGTGAAACATGAAACCTTCTCAATTCTCCATTACACGTGTCAAATTTCCGCATCGAAAGAAAGGGTGACATGATCCAAAGTCCAAAGTAATATTTGTATTTTGGCCTAATTAGTCCATCAACCAGTAGGACTCATTGGCCTTATTCGTTCATAATCCTCAAATTACAAATATTTGGAAATGTTATATTCTGCATTAAATCTTCAGGCGCGGAAAATTCTAGCTGTCCTTTCATGTTTTTTTTTGGTGTCGTGATTATCTTTACTATTTTTTATGTCAATATTTTCGTTTTCTTCATAATTTTTTCACTCTTTTTTTTAAAACTTGTTTTGAAAACGTTATTTTTTAACCAAGAATTTATAAAAAATAACTTCTCTATCGGACACAAGATAAATAAGATCTACGTACATCTCATCCGAGGATGATATTGTGTATGTTATTGTTAGGATGGTTGTTGCTAACGAACTCCCAAAGCCAATATTTGTAGTCCCAATCAAGAAAAGAAGACGAAGAAAAAGCAGGCATTTGGCTTGTGTCTTTCTCGTTTTTAACACTTTTCAATCATTTCTTTAATTTATATTTTATACACTTTTTATTTTATTCTCAAACACGAGTTTATGGATAAGTTAATTAAGAACACATGACAAATTGACAATAATAAGATATAGTTGCTTATAGAACAGGAAGGGGAGCCTTGGCGTAATTGGTAAATTTGATGTCATGTGACCAGGAGGTCACAGATTCAAGTTGTAGAAACAGTCTCTTGCAAAAATGCAGGATAAGACTGCGTACAATAGATCTTTGTGGTCCGACCCTTTCCCGGACCCCGGACATAGCGGGAGCTTAGTGCACCGGGCTGCCCTTTTTTGCTTATAGAATAGCATAATTAAGAAATAAGAATATTCGAATAGGGACAGGGGGAATTGGGACAAATAGGAAAAATATATATCTAGGGAAATTAAAGCATTTAGCTCTGGTTTTAGCTAAGCTAAAAATCGACGTGCATGCACGAACTATAGTAACTAAATTTTTGACAATTTATATAATCTCGTTTGAGAGTTTGGTCAATACTTATTAATCATAATTATCAGTTGTTTGGTCGCCTATCCGTAAGTTTAATACATTGGTAAAGCAATAGTATATCACACTAATACATTTTCAGCAACGCAAGTATTTAATGTTCATACATTTCTCTAAAAACAATCACATTAATCCTAACTATGGTATGAGATGAAGATAAAATAATACACGGTTTGTTTCTGTTGCAAATATCAAGAATATATATATATANGGCTGATAAATGATCAGTTCATTTTAACATAGTAATGTTTCACAACATGCAGCTCATCTATATATATAACTATATTATTGTGTAGATTAGAGATAGAGTTGTTTTTTGGTAAACATATATGAAACGTTTACTTTATTCTTAGACAAAAATACCTAGCTTAATACTGACCATTAAGTTATTAGCCATTAAAGATGGCGAATCATCCATGGTGGCATCACAGTATTAGCAGTTTGCTGCTGCGAACCTCCTTCTACTTCTCCATTTTCTTCTGCAGTACTCTGATATGCTTCCCTGCATTTTGCATGTTACATCATAGGCAAATGGAGCTTATATACTACGGGTTTAACAGAACCCAGTAATTTTGATATAGTATATAGATATGTGGTCAAAAAGCACAAAAAACTAAACAAAATAGTAAATTTTAAACAATAAGTGTAATGATCACTTAAAAGTTAGGATAACGTTTAAATTTCAGATCCGCCTATAATTTATAGAGTTCCCAAGAAAGCTATCCCCAACTCAAATATGCATCACCTTTTTTCTTATAGATCAAGAAATTCTCGAGGGCTAGTGGTGCACAGTTCGAAGCTCAGTGGATAATAGGCATGCCCGACTGCCTTTTTTCACTTAAATATCTAGTTTTTGTCTGCAGTAGAATTCAAACCTGTGAAGTGCACTTACACATTGCGTTGCGCACTTACCATTAGACCAAAACCCTAGGCATATGCATCCCTTTTTCTTGAGTACTTTATGTAATTGATTAATAGACTTATTAAGCGACAATATGATGATTCGATACACGTTATTTGAAGGTTAATTTTCTCATTTTCTAAACTTATTTTTATACTGCTCTTTGCCTAGCCAATGGCTTATTGAATACAAAAAGTAGAATAAAGAGATTGGGACAGGAAGGGGGAAACTATATATACCCAAGGTTAGGAGAGTCCAATTGCTGTTGAAAAATAAATGAAGGTGAGTTGAGTTCTTGGTTCTGCTGCTCCCGCTGATTTTGCTGGGCCAACTCTTTCTCCCTCTCCTTCACCTGTTTTAAAGGAATTCAAAATTTAATACTGTAATAGTAAATTTCCAGTTGGAAAGATTTGCAGTGATAACTAGAAACATTATAGGGACAAATGAAATAATAATTTACCTTCTTGCAAAGCTGGTTGTTTTGCTCCTGCAGTGCTTTGTCCTGTACCATGCAAAGGAAATGTTAAAGAAACAATTTGTTTCTATCATGCAATTAATATCTCAATAATTAAAAGTGTGTTCTCTCTAACAGCTTAAGCGTCGCACTCCTGAACACACATCTTTTTCCTACTTTTCAAGTAAAGATCAGAACTTGAAAGGAAATTCTTACCTTTTTTTGAAGCTCAGAAATAGACTCATGCATCAATTGGTTCTACAAGAAAAATAAGTCTTTAGTTTAGAGGTGTTTTCTCAAAGAAAATCCAGATTATACAGCTATGTTTTCTAAATAATTTGGTTGTACCTTGCTTGAGCGAATGTGTTTAAGAGCAGAATCCAGCTGGTGTTCCAAATTCTGAAGTTCCTTCGTACTTAACGAGTCCAAATCTTCTCCCATATAATGCCTGCAAATCGTCAATATGAAACGACGAACAGTTTTTAAGGCAATAATGTTTCTACCAAGGGAAATGTATATGTCACATAAAATTCGTTTAACGATATATCAATTATGTGTACCTTTGGTTTCTCTGCAAAACCTCAAGTCTAGCCTTAAGTTTTGCATGTTCCAGGGTCCAGCTTCCCTGCACCAAATTAATTACACCGTCCTCAAAACGAAGAAATGACTTCAAATGTTACGCATTGTTAATAGAAAAGAACTTTTACGAACAATGTATATAAGTTAAATCCGAAATAAATTAGCCATACCGGGCAGCTATGATCAGTAGTAGCAACAAGTTGCCTCTCAGCATATGAGTATCTTTCGTATCTTTCAAGGATCCTCTCCATGCTGATATATTGTATCAGAAGAGAGTTGTTTGATCAGAATCAGATACAAGTCAAATACAGGATAATGGACAAAAGCTTAAAACAATGGTCATTACATTCCCCTAACGCCCCAAGAAAATCAACACAACATAATTTATTAATCTCTTTGATCAAGTCCCTTGATTAGTGTAGCTTTTTATTTTATCTTCATAGCATATATATTCATATATACTATTAAAGTAGATACATTGTGGTGTATCAGAATATTTAGAGAAAATAATACATATATTAGCTTTTGTATTATTAATCCCATGCATGATAGTGTTTTTTAACCTAGTAATTATATATCATATTCGGTACTATTCTTATACATAACAAACTATGACATTTGCAATAACATATTTTTTAATACATGGATAAGCATGCATAAAAACATGATGCTGTCTTTTCCAAATCTTTAATACACAAAATCAAACAGTCGATCAGAAATAACCCCCATAACTAATTTTATTATTACTAATTTCACGATTGCTAATAAGCTCAATTTAGTACTATTCTTATACACCCTACCAAATGACCTCTTAGGGCAAGAACCTAAGAGAGATGTGCATAATTCCAGCTTCTCCAACAAAATAAAGAATATTGGGGTATTAGGAATGTGAAGGAGATAAATTGATAAATAGAATATATGAATTTTATGTGATCAAACTGTAATAATTTCTACACTATTAGAGCATTAAATTTAAACTCTTACTGAAAACCTTATCGCTAAGAACACAACAATAACAACAAATTACTATTATTACGCCTCAATCCCAAGCTAGTCGAGATATATCGAATGATAAATGTTATATTTGGGTCCATTATATTCAATATACATTCCGGACTTGAGGATTATCTAATACAAGGAATTCCATATACTTTCTAGTGGTTGTAACTTTAAATACAAAGAGTCTTCTGGTAAGAACTAGCCTTCAAGTTGGTACAACTTATTTGGATTTTCAACAATCATCATTTTCTATGTTTTTCTATATCTACCTTGATTCCGAGTTATTTTAAATTTTGTTTAAATAACTTCTTTTTCATATGATTCTAGGTTTATCTCTTTCTCTTTTAACATCTTCAATCATCTTGTTTTCACATGCAAGAATTGGTGCATCTGGAGGACTATGTATTCAAACCATCTCAATCTACATTTCCTCACTTTACCCTTTATATTCCCGCTATTTGAACCGCCAAGCAGATGTGATAATTTATGATTTTATAGATTTAATCTTTTATGACCGCAGATCCATTTTAACGTTCACATTTTTGCAACACTCATCTTGTGATTATGTGGGGCTTTGGAGACCCAACAATCAACCAATTTAATGACAAAATAGAAATTTAACTTCCCCTCTTCCTTTTCTTCTCTATATTTTCCCTTCAATAGCCTTCTCCGCCCCCACTCCCACCCCACCCCCAACGCACCCACTGCCCTCAACTCATGACTTTTTTACCATTCTAATGTTATGTCCAACAAAATAAGCAGCCTAGTGTTCATTATAAAGAAGTTAAAAAAAGTAGAAGATATGAAAAAGGAAGAAAGAAGAGAAAAGGACTCTTAAGCTAAACAAATCCATAAACCAAAGACTATCAGCAAAGAGAGACTACAACTTAGCATGCAACAAAATTTAAATGAAGCGTACATCATTAAACTTTTTATGGTTTTCAAAAGAAAAGCTAGGACACAATGCAAATAGATGAAGGAGTCCTATAGTTAAATATAGTATAATATGTACAAGCATTTTACTTTGTATAAAAAAATCATTTGATGCAAGGATATAGCGCGAAGATATGGATTCTACCGAACCCGTAGCTTCTATTTTGGATCCGACATGCCCACCTCTGCATGAATAGTTTCTATGAGTACCAGTTTACAGTTATGATTTACTTTTGCAATGATCATGTAATTTCATTTATATACCTATTTTACGAACGAGGTAAATTTGGGACACGGCTGAAGAAGGTCTTCTTCGAAGCGATAGACTATCTATTTCACTATCATATATAAAAGCATGCAGAGAGAAAGAGTAGATATTGAAAATCTTATGATAGAAAACTAGTTGTATGTACGAGTTTTATTGCTATGCCTGAAGACCCTTTTCATTTATCAATCCTCAATATATACCCTTCTCTTAAAAGTGTGTGATCATCTCATTCAAAGTTTAAACAGTTAAATACACCTTGTTTTTATTTTTTAATTATGTCTTCAACACGCCTAATCATGTGCGAGTTTGATTTTTTCATATGTCAAGAACGGGTATTTTTTGTTTTGTTTTTTAATAATGGATGGAGTTGAGAGTCAAATCAAGAGCTTTGTCTGCTTTTATACTATGTACGTAAAAGTATGTGATCATCTCATTTAAAGTTTAAATTGTTAGAGTGAACATACTTTTATTTATCTAATTATATCTTCAACATGGTCTAGTTCATTCAAATACTTTTATTCGACCCATATCCAGGATTTAAAAAGCATATGTGCACCACTATCTTTAGAAAAATATATGATTTGACAATACAAATATTTTTACGATGACACAAGTTGATGAACAAACTCTAATTAATATTATTAGCATTGTTTATGTTCTCGACTAGTTTTCATACGTTGAAAACTATCAATATAATTGAATCATTACTTACGATTTTAAATATATTACATTATATATAGCAAGCTAAAAATTATTAAAAAATTCTTCATCCATCCTATACGTAGATCTTTTTATGTGCTTCCATTTCCCTATAAATACATGATTTGCATTATTAGTTTTATATTATAGTGCAAGTTTAAGATTAATTTTGTTTTCTGGTACTTCATTTCATGACAAAATGTAAATTTTTTTGAGAGATTAACCTTTTAATTTTAAAGTTCTCTTTTTCATCGAACACTTACAACCTACTATTAGTAGTGATAATTTTCGAGAGAAAAACATGGGATCATAATATCACATTTCATGAAGCATTTTAGTGAAAGCTTTCTTTTTAAGAATAACTTAAGGCCAAGTAACCAAGAAAGAAAAGAAAACGTTCAAAAAACATAAGCATGTTTAATTAAAAAGTCTAAGGGGGCAAGCAAGAATTGACCCCTAACCTTTGGGGATGAAGGTGCACTTATTGACCATTGAGCCAAAATACTCACTTAAGCATGTGTTCACACATGCTTATTTAAAAATAAAATCAGAAACATACAAGTGTTATAATCTATAAGGAGGGGAGCATGGATTCAAGTCTCTCGCTTCGAGAGCAAATTATCTAAGTAATAATATTCAATCTGCTAAATTTAGCTTGTACGTTTTGACACTTTTTAAATTTAAATTAAAAATCGGATTGCATGAGTAGAAGTTTCATCCCTGCTTCATCACAGCAGCTATGAAATCATAGACTATATATTATCATCTCTGCCTAGCCTATTTTGGGTAAGAAATATGTTTGACTTGAATCTTGCCACCTGTTCACCCATAAATGCAAAACAAAACAAAATAATAGTAATATATGTATATAAAGCCAGTAGATACACTGTACCATGAGTACCTCGTTTAATTTATACTATAAAGTTTTGAAGAGTTGGTCACTGTACCATGAGTACCTCGTTTGAAGACATTTGCATGAAACACAAGTACTTAAAGATACATTTGAAATTAAGAATGCTTTTACAACTTGGCTTCCAAAATAAAACACAGATTAATCTTTTTGTCATGGTTTATTTGTAACTAAAAATGTTTGACTAATATACTTTATATATTTCGATTTATGTGAATCTATTTCTTTTTTAGTCCGTGTCAAAAAAATTGATTGTTTTTATATTTGTAAGCACTTTATCTTTATGCTATAATTTATAATCACACAAAATATATATGCCTCATTTTATACCACAAATTTAAAAATATTTTTTTTTCTTAAACTCCGTGTCCAATCAAAAGAGTATTTTTACGCCACAAATTCAAAAATCTTTTTTTTTTATTTTTTATTCTGCACGTGCTTTTCTTCTTGTTTGACACGAAGCAATCTGCTGTTAAAAATGAGAACTATTTTTAGAAACTACACGAGGAAACGCTAATAATATTGGATCTATCAAAATTGAGTCTGCAAAAGAGATTTTATAGGTTTTTGCATGGAAATGACTGCTTAATAAAATATTATTATAAACAGGAACTACACACAACAACAACCGTACGCTGACTGGAAAGGTTGAGATACCGTCTCTGGTAAAATCTCGACTCAAAAAAAATAAAAAGAAATAATAGAAACAAACAATATCAACAACAAAACAAAAGTCAAAAAAATAATAACAGCAATCTAAAAATCAAAAAATTAGATGGAAGAAAGTAGTGGCGGCAAACATAACAACACCAAAATACTAGAAAATCAATGCGGAAGATATTACACAACAATAGAAATGGGAAGAATTTAAAGGAACAAAGAACGAAAGCTACTGCTCAAGATTGCAAGTAACTTGGTATCGAGCAGTAACAGGTGCATATAGCTAGCACATAAAATTTAAGAATATAAAACAAGTAAACACAAACAGGGAATTAGATACAAAAAGTCAAAATTAATAAAAACAAAAGGCAACACTGTTCCAAAAGTAAATAAAGAATGTCAAGAACTAAAAATTAAATATCAAGAAGGGAGAAATGTGATGACTATACCATTTCTTAAGAAAAAAAAAAGAAAAAAAAAAGGTTCTAATTAATTGCTAAGGAAAACCATAAAAAACAGTAGTAAAAGATAGGGAAAAGACGTACCAAGAATCAGTGGCATATTCAAAGAGTTTGCCTTTTGTAGAAAAAACAATCAAACCAACCTCAGCATCACAAAGCACAGAGATCTCATGAGCTTTCTTAAGCAAACCAGATCGACGTTTTGAGAAAGTAACTTGCCTATTAATTTTGTTCTCAATTCTCTTCAACTGCACCCTTCCTCTTCCCATTTCTTTTTTTGGGTAATTTTTTCCCCTGAAAAACAAAAAAGAGAGTAATATATTCTCTCAAATGGAGAAAGAAAAGAAGAGTGCAGAATAAGAAAGTGATGGTCTTATTCTCTTTATTTCTCTCTTTGGTATCGAAATGATTATTTTGTAGCTTCAGGAATTTTTTATTGTTACTAATGGGAAGTGGAAATTAAATATCCCAGATGGGAGGAGAGAGAGGAGAATGGTATTTGAAAAACCAGAATGGTTTCGTCAATTGCGTTGTCGATGTTTTATTGGTTAGAGAAACTGGTGCGTCATTAGTGTCTGGAGTAAAGGCCACAAGTTTTTGGAGAAATCAACAATGGACAAAAGGTACGGACTAGGTATCTTTTTCACTTACTCATCTTTATGATTTCATTACTTTCTCCGTCCCAATTTGTATTAATTCGATTGGATACAAAATTTAAAGGTAAATTAATTTTGAAAATCTTACGGAAATATCCCAAAAAAGTTTCAAATTACGAACCTCTAATCATTAATCATAAACTTACCAAAACTAGCTAGTCAGGCACATATAAAAATTAAAAAATTCAAAAAATTAAGGTTCTTTCTCTCAAAAAATCACACACAAACATCTTCTACCATATTTTTAAGGGTGATTAACAACATTATATGCAAGACGAAAAGGAAATTTCATAAATGAGGCAACAAATAAGATGATGAAATACACACACACACACACACACATATATATATATATATATACAAGATTCCAAAAATCTAAGCAAAAAAGGACTTTTTTCAATGGGTATGGTTGAGATTCATTGAAAACATATAGATGAATCAATATACAAAATTTGAGGAAGATTGGAGGTGATTTGGACTGAACTAGTATCAAAATTCGTAGTTAAAATCGAGTTCATAAAGTTCTTCTGTGACACATGTATCTAACATATATCACACATGTATCTCACACGCATGTATACGTGGATATACATGTGATATTTATTTGATACAAATATGATACACATCTGATATACAAGTGATACACACATGTGAAACACATATCATTTTTTCATGTTCATCCTTTACTTCGAATTTTCAATTCAAACACCTCAAAACTCTACTAAAGCATCTCAAAATTGAGATTCAAGCTCCTTTAGATGTACCCAATCTATTTTAGTAACACCCACTCAAAAGAAAGCAAAAAACTTGACTTTTTTTGTTCCAAATAGCTAATTGGCTAATATTAGTAATATTTTATGAATTAGCCAATTTTTGTAATAAGCTACTTATAAATGGACATAACTAGTATTTTCTCATTAATATTTTTAGTACGAAGATATATTTTATCTATGTTAATTTATGTGTCTTAATTTGACTAGATATAAAATTTAAAAAGATGTGAAAAACTTTTCAATCTTGTGGTCTTATACTAAAAATGTGTGATATATAAAAATATCCTTGAATCTTGTGGTTTTAAACATATCATGTAAAAAGTTTGAGTTAAAGAGTTATTAAATATAGAGAGATACATTAATTTTTAAATAAATTAAAATGAAAAGTATGACGCATAAATTGAAACGAAGAGAGTATCATTTTTTGAGAGACAAGCTAAAAAAAAAAATATCACATAAATTGAAAAGGCAAGAATAATTTTATAGTTAGTAGATTTTGAAGCACACGCGTATTATGTATTTACTGCATATCAATGGTGCAATTATTAAATTATAACATCAATATTATTAAAAACAGAAATTAAATGATAAATAGAAATGAAAGATACACATATAAAATAGAAATGACATAATAATGATTGTTGATCTTATTTGCCTTACTTAATAGAAGACGAAGCTCTACTTATTTTTCGTCATGTTCCACAATTTAGCATAGTAGTATGTATTTATTATCTTTATTTTTAATTTTCTGAAAAATTAAGAATAGAAATTCTATATTATTGTATAGTTGCAGAAAAAACCCAGAGAATGTATAGCGCATATGATTTTTTTGCAGAAAATATACAAAAAGAAAATATCCGTGGGAATAGCTAAAAAATTCAGGACCGGAAAATCTTATAATACTTTCATAATTTTTAAACTTGATGTTGATTTAAAGAGTATAATAGTAGGTAATGGAAAATACGCAACGGCATTACAAATGATTTTTATATTGTTGTAATCTTTATATGATTGTATTTTAAAAAAATTATCCCAATTTATGTGGTATTGTCTCCGTTTTTAGTATGTCCCAGCAAGAAGAAACAGATTTACTTTTATCTTTTAATTTTAACTTTAAAGAGATAATTTTTAACCACACAAATATCTATGAAATATTTTTACGATAATTTTCAAAAAATATTTTTTTTTCTTTCTTAAACTTAGACCATCAATTACATAATCTGGGATGGACATAGTACTAGCCATTAATGTATATATACATTTTTTCCAAAAATATTATAGGAATAGTGTTTGATTGAAGGGTAAAAAATCACTCAACATTATACGAGTACTTTGGTCAATTAACTTTTTTAATTTGGGTCTACTATTACTTGTAATAGTATGTAAGTTATCTTAATTTTCAGATAATCAGTTTCATTTGTTCCCAAATTGCTTAATTTCGGTCAATTATCTTTTAAATGAATTAATAGTATGATACTTGCACTACAAATATATAGAAAACAAACTCTTTTTTAAATAGTGACGGCTACCTTGTGAGCTAGGTGAATAGGAGTAATTCATTTGCTTGTCAGTTTTCACTTTCAGTCATACTAGCATAATCTTTTTGATGTCATTGATTTGGACTCTATCTATTTTGACTTGTCAAGTAATATAATATCACTAATCTAACTGAATAAAGTTTGGACAATGAAATTACATAATACCTTTAATATAATTCATCGCATACCAATCCAAATAATTTGGGCAGAACTTTGATCTAGAAAAAGTTATGTAAAATTGCGTAATTAGCAATTACTTGCTCCACACTGTAGGAGTCATCATCTCTTTTATAGGCGGATTTAAAAGTTATGTGAAAAATACGAGTTTACGCATCGAGGTTTAGACGAACAAAGATAAATATCTTTGACATTTTGTGAACCACTTGATAGTTGATACTATATGTGGATTCGCCTTGAACATAGAGGAAATGATAAGAAACTGTTTGAGGGTCTGTTGTTGTCAAAAAGCCCACAACGCAACAAATTGTCTGCTGTAGATGGAATCTTTAGCACGAAATTAGATTGTTGTCCAAAATACCATCATTCATCTGATGTTATTTCACCGAAATAGAGTTAAATTAGACTTACACCCTTTCCTTTTTTGGGAGTACAAATAATATGAGAGAGAGAAGCTCTCAAGGTAGAAATTTGAAAATAAGAATTACTATAATTATTTTGAAAGCTCTTTTGATATTCTTCTTTTCTAAGTGACTATTTAAAGAAGACTAGTGATGTAATTTTTTGCACAAACAAGTTTTTGAAAAGTCATCTGCAGGTAAGCATCTAAACTAATTCGTACTCTCCCATTTTAATGTATTTGATATAGTTTAATTCGGAAAGAAATTTAAGAAAAAAATAAAGATTTTTAAAATTTGTGGTGCTAAATATGTCACAATATTTTTGTGGCTATAAAAGCTTCTTATTTACGTTTAAAGTTAGCTGCTTTCAAATATAAAAATATTACCAATCTTTCTAGAAAAGATCAATAAGAAAATAATAGCAAATTAATTAAAATGTAGGCAGTAAGAAATATCTGGATTCAGATTTTCCATCTTAAAGTTTTGATTTTGGCAGAAAAAACAAACGAAAGTAGTTCAAAAATAAAATGTGTGTTCTTTTAACAATCACTATTGGTAATAATAATCATAACCCTTATGAAATAATCACACACTTACCTGAGGTATGAATATAATATACGCGGAGATAAAGTTGGAAATGAACGAAAATAATTAAATATATAGAAGCCTCGTGATATTGTCTGCTCTCAAAGTCTCAAGGGGGAACATTTTACTATGGAACGTAGTAAAATCTAAAAGAAGAAAGTTAAAAACTGGTGTATGCTGGGTTGAGTCGGGTAAATAGTTAAATTTCCTATTTTGGGCCATACATTTTTTTTACTCCACACATGTAAAAAGGTACAATGTGTAATGGGCTATGTGGTCCATAGAATTTAAGCTGCCAACTTCGTAGTAGTTGTTACGCTACAGTGGTACGTATATTTATGTCTATTTTTTTCTGTCTGTTCCTTTGACTAATTGCTTTTGTCAATTGAAGTAAGAACGAGAGACATTTAACCTTGTCTAAACATGACAGTCACCTGTTCCCTTTTTCTCATCCAACCACCATGCACATTTTTTTTCTGCACCCTTTAAGATTTAAATTTTATGAGTTCAACTTTTAAGGTTTTAGCATTGAATCTATTATATTTTTAAATTCATGGGTTCATACCTACTATTTTTATAATTTTAACAAATATTTACTCCGCGTCGAAATTTATGGGTTCAATTGAACCCGTCATCAACACTCTATATCCTCCCATGTCCCCCGGTGCTCCCAACTTTGCTTCTTTGGTGATTTGAACCAGCAACCTTAAATGCCGTTTCGCACCAGAAATAAGGATAATAATTTTGGGATAGAATTTAAAATTGTATTTATCCTTTATTTAGTTATAGGTATTTGCTAATCCCGTGATAAGTTTTAAAATGATGAGATTAGATATTCATATAGAAGGTGAGATAATTAATCCCATAGAATATCTCACCCCATAGGATATCCTGATTTATCCCACTATTACACCAAACGACCCTTACGACTTAGATGTAGGGTGTTTACCATTTTGAGCAATCATTATGTACACTTTCTTCCTTTATTAACTTTATAAAAAATAGGATCGTTTCATTCCGTGGAAAAGATAAGAAATTATACATTAGTATACATATAAATATTTTTTACATTATTAATGTAATTTAATTCATTATAATATGTTATTAATTAATTTACTTTTCAAGTACTATGTCAAACTTCAATATAGATAGTTACATATTCTTATAGACCAAATAATATAAGAATTATATTGACACTAATATGCACAAAACATAATTTCAAAGATAAAATGGATTCAAATCTTATTATTGTGGGGGTCCATCCCATTGGTTAACAATAGTTGTCAATAGCCTTATGCCTATTGTACCTATACTATGGCAAGATTTTTGGTG